GTGTGTGTGTGTGTGTGTGTGTGTGTGTGTGTGTGTGTGTGTGTGTGATACCAGGTCCCGTGGAACCCCGAGGTGGACTTGTGTTGGCACACTCTGGTCCGTGGAGCTTCAGACGAGTGTGAACCAGAGTGGTGCGATTCTGAAGATCCTCTCTTCATCCTCTACACTAGCGGCTCAACCGGTAAACCAAAGGTGAGGTGAGGGTGAGGGAACTAGGGTCGGGGCGGTGTGTAGAAGAGACAGTATTATTTTATATTGCCTGTCTGTAACAGTAACCTCTGTGCAGACAGAAACTATTTTACATAATTAACAAACCTCTGTGAGTGAAACCTTTTGGTGTAGTGTGAAGAGAGCCCGGACCAGACCTGTAAGAGGTCACACCTTAATTTGACCACTAGTGCTCACTTGACTCAGCAGCTGGTCCCAAGACATAATGAGACTTTTAGACTAACTCCCATGTCTCAACCCGTCACCCCAAATAGTACTACTGTGTAGAAAACAAACACAACGTGCGCCGTACGTGAATACAGATGCACTGTGTTCAGATGTCAGTCATTCAGTTTTAAGACTCGCATTTATAATAATAATAGTGGTGTCTATCTGATTTAGTTTGATCTTATTATGGTCCAAGTAGTTTTAAAATGCCTTAAAGGTGAACTATCCGTGTCATTAAGGGCTAAAACATGCAGGTAATGATCCTTATGAGTACAGAAATGTCATGTTGAAGCATCCCAGGTATTCTTTACCTCTAGCAACAAAGTTAGAACGATTTCTGTCATTTTAATTTCAATCTGCGACTTGAAAAGATGGTATTTGTCTAATTGCCTCTTTAAATCCCACATTTTTTTTAAATCCTCAAACTTGCTTCAAGCTTTACTTCTCTTGTCTGCAGGGAGTTCTTCACACAGTCAGCGGCTACATGCTCTACACTGCCATCACCTTCAAACTGGTGTTTGACTACCAGCCCGATGACGTGTACTGGTGCACGGCAGACATCGGTTGGATCACCGGACACTCCTACATCACCTACGGCCCGCTGGCTAACGGGGCCACCAGCGTCCTGGTGAGTGCCGACAGACGGACGGTGGGATTACTCAACTTCCTGTTTTTACAAACTTCAGCCAACTTGGCTGACGGTCGCTCTATTGTGACTGACTGCAGGTGATGTCTTGATTTGATCTGCCGCCAAAGAAAGTTCACCAATACAGTCATTTAAATACATCTGTCCTATGATTTGTATTTTGTAGTAATATGTATTGAACATTTAATAATTATAAAGAGCTGGAAAACACGATTTTTGTTCTATTTGTTATTTAATTCAAGGTAACTGTGGATAGCTACACATTTGCATAAATACCATACAGCAATTTAACATAAAACTTGACTGTATGATTTGTCATTTGTTTTTTTTAACTATTAATTTTTGTATTTCTTTTTCTGTGATCCGTGTCATCGTGGAGAAGAGAACACATTTATTTAATTTATTGATTAGTCAACTGACAGAATATAGGAATTGCAATGTCAACTGTTTTGATTATCCATGAATCTTTTATCATATTATGAAAATTACAAACCTGCTCTGATTTTAGCTTCAATATGTGTATTTGCTGCTTTTTGTATTTATATATAATTGTTAAATGGCACAACTTAAAATTTTGGACTTTCCAGTTGGACAAGACATTTATAAACGTCACATTTTTCACTATTTCCTGACATTTTATAAGCCAAATGACCATCAGTTTAAGCCTTCATTAATTCATAAATGTAGTAATTATTATTATTCAGGCTAAAAAAAAGGATGTTTAAAAGTCATTCCAAGCCTGGTATGTGACGTTTAGGTTGTTGTATCTAAGGTCCTGTTTGTGTTTCAGTTTGAGGGCCTGCCTACGTACCCAGATGTAAGCCGTATGTGGGAGATTGTGGACAAATATCATGTGACCAAGTTCTACACAGCTCCGACCGCCATCAGACTGCTGATGAAGTACGGCAGAGAGCCGGTGCAGAAGTGAGTCGTGACCACCACAGGCTGACTTGCTAGTGATGCTCCCCATTACTGTTTTATGCAAGGGCGGCATTTTTTTATCGGTTTCTGTAGTAAATCGCATTCTCTCTGCAGGTATAAGCGAGAGTCTCTGAAGATTTTGGGGACGGTGGGAGAGCCCATCAACCCTGAGGCCTGGCATTGGTACTACACGGTGGTGGGAGAGAAGAGATGTCCTATTGTTGACACCTTCTGGCAGACGGAAACTGTAAGTTATTACTTTTTGGCGTAAGATTTATATATAATCAATGACTGTTTTGGACAGAACTGAACTGCTGCTGAAACATGATCCTAAATAAGAGAAAATACTTTTAACCTTTTTTTTTAACAGTGATTGCAGACTTCTTCAGCTTCCAGCAGGCGGCAGCACAGCCAACAGTTTACTCACACCATGTGGGATAAAAACAAACAAGCATTTCTCACTGGATGTTTTCTGGTCTTTCAGGGTGGACATGTGTTGACTCCTCTACCTGCAGCAACACCCATGAAACCTGGATCTGCTGTGAGTGATGTACAAAATAAACACACCATATATACAACTCAACAATACTCTACTTCACTTCAACATTGAGAAGCAAGGCAAATGTGTTAATACAGCACAATACATACAAGAGGCGGGTTTCAAAGCGCTTTACAGATAATTTAAATTTAAAGGGGATTAGAATCGGAAAACGTTTCCTAACAGAAATTGGTAAAACAAAAAGCAACAGTCTAAGGACAGCAGGTGTTGTATGCTGCACAGACGGTAAAGCCCCAATCTCGTGAGCTCTATAAATACAATTGACTTCACTTTTTCTGTTCTCCAGACGTTCCCGTTCTTCGGAGTGGTGCCGGCCATCTTGAATGAGTCGGGAGAGGAGCTGGAGGGACCGAGTAACGGATACCTGGTTCGGACAATTGTCACCACGTTTTGAAATGATCTTTCACTCTTTGACTCATCATGCGTGTTCATCTGTTTCTGCTTCTTCTGCCTTCAAACAGGTATTCAAGCAGCCGTGGCCCGGAGTGATGAGGACGGTGTACGGAAACCAGCAGAGGTTTGAAACCACCTACTTCAAGAAGTTCCCAGGATACTACGTCACAGGGGACGGTGAGAGACCAGGGGCCTCATGACAGAACAAGATCCTGCTTGTCCTATCTGTACTTAGGTTTTAGACATTATATTCCTATTACTGAAGCCGCTTCTAAAGTCACGGCTGTGTCCTGTCCTTTCTTAGACTTCCTATCTTATCTTAACTTTATAAAAATAGATTCTTCAATCAGCACTCGTCCTGTCCTGCTGTATCTTTGATTAGAATGTACCGGTAAGCTTTTGTGATCTGCGCGACCACTGGCAGAGCCCTAAGTCTGTTTGTCGGCGTCTCAAGAGCTGGACTTAGCAGGTTGATCAAATTCAAAATGAATCTCTTCTTCGTCTTTGCAGTCGATATTCACGGTTAATACACTTTACATTTCCCGGTTTGAGCAGCCGTACCATCATTATACTGTGGCGATCATGTTGTTTCCCTTCTTCACGAGCCATACAGATCCATCAGTGCTGCTGCCATTATTGCCATTGTTTTGAATTATGGACGGTCTATGCCATCCTAACTTTAGGATTTTCCACGTTGGGAATCTTAAGTTAAATTCTTATCAAGTTTATTTATAGAGCTCAAGAGATTGGGGCTTTACCGTCTGTGCAGCATACAACACCTGCTGTCCTTAAACTGTTTTTTTTTTTTACTAATTGCTGTATTTTGTTGTTAATTATTTTAAATCTTTGTCTGTTTCCTACACCTTTAGTACTGCTGCCACATTTTAATTTATATTAAATCTATATTATCTCATACTATCAAGTATTATAGTTTACTTTATTACCTTTATCTGTTTCTTCCATTAAATATTTCTATGTTTTTATCCTTTATTTTCTAACTACAGTAACAAACAACGTGTGTTGCTGCTAGATTGTGTCTGAAGCTTTGAGTTTACGACACCTGTTTAAAACTTTACATTTTTAATGTACAGGTTGCCATAGAGACAAGGATGGCTACTACTGGATAACGGGGAGGATCGACGACATGCTGAATGTCTCTGGTAAGACTCACCCCTGAGCTCATTTCATTTACCTGAATGAGGTGTTTGTGTCTCTTAGTGAACTGTCTTTATATTGCTGGCTTCTTTACTTTTTTTTGATTATTAATCCAAAAACAAAATAAGCATTAAAGGAGATTTATACTTTATCAAACAGAGCGTGTTTCTCGCTAGTTTAGGCAACTTATATTCTGAGATCAGTTAACCAAAAACTCCCTTTTGTCTTTTTTCCCTACAGGTCACTTGTTGAGTACAGCGGAGGTGGAGTCGGCTCTGGTGGAGCACGAGGCCGTTGCAGAGGCTGCTGTTGTGGGCCGACCTCATCCCATCAAAGGGGAGAGCCTCTACTGCTTCGTAACTCTCACAGATGGAGTGACGTACAACCGAACGATCGAGGCTGAGCTCAAAAAACAAGGTTGGTAAACACGCCCCCCACGACGTATTTTTTAGTGACATATTCTTGCGCCTGGAAGAGCTTCATTGGACTCCAGAAGTCTCCACTGAAACTCTCAAAACCTTTTTGGTGTAAAGAAAAAGGAGGAAATGTATACAATCAACCCACAGATATGAATGAAGAAAAGTGCTTCATTTACTGCCAAAGATTATGTCGTTACATTCTGCATAACATCTGTAGAAACCTGGTTTTCAGTGACACTGTATGGAAGTCAGATTCTGATGTGATTTTTATTTTTTATCTTCGGGGTTCGCAGTGCGGGAGAAGATCGGTGCCATCGCAACACCAGACTACATCCAGAATGCTCCAGGACTCCCCAAGACCAGATCTGGTAAAGTTACCAAAGTTACAGAAAATAAATAAAGAAGTAATTTTTAAAGTAAACCCCCCCCCGACACTGAAACACTGTTTATTGTAATGACATTGATTATGTGGTCGTAGCCGATACCTGATCATCTTTACGAGGTCAGTATTGACAATCCAGCATGCTTTGTGGCTACAAAGCGGTAAAATAACTTTCACCCTGGACGTTTCCCTCTCCTGTTGTTTGCTTTGGGCCTCGTCAGCTCTTTAATGGAGATGCTTCACTTATATAGATTTATTAGAAATAACACTATTATGATTGTGAGAGTCAGCAAAATGTAAGTAACTCAACACCAAATCCAACTCTTTAAGTTAGTGTCATATTTTATACTCTTTATTGCATTCCAACAGTTGCTATTACTATTTTTTCAGAGAAAATAAAGTAAACTACTCTAAAAGCTACTTAAAAGTGTACAATTTTAAATTTAAAAATATCTCTTCATCATCGCCTCTCCGCTACTCGCAGGTAAGATCATGCGACGGGTGCTCCGCAAAATCGCCTGTGACGAACGAGACCTGGGCGACATCTCCACGCTGGCCGACTCCTCCGTGGTCGAGCAGCTCTTCCAGAACAGATGCCGCACGGGCATGTGACGGCCTCCAGGATCCTCGCAGGGAGGCTTCCGCTGCAGCCGCATAACCAGCGGCCACAAACGAAACCATGGGAGAAGAGGAGGAGAAATCCCATGAACTTGGTCTTGTCCAACAAACAACCTTTAGCTCCTGATGAGTATGGCCGTTGTGCAGCAGAGCCTGTATTTAAAATGGCCCCACTGTCTTTTAATGTAAGAAAAATCAGCAGCAGGGAGACACACACAACATCTGTCTGGTTACTGGTAGGTGCTTCCCACTTCTGTAGAAGCAGCAATCATTTTAGCAGCAGCAAACAGAGTGAGGCATTGGTGTGACAGCGAGAAGCCAGAGGTTGTTTTCTGTGAAAGACCGTCCTGAAGTCCAACTCTGTTGAAGAGGAAGAACAGGGTAACACTTCCTTTGGTTTTATCCTAGTGTTTCAGCCAAAAATACACAGCAATACCTGCTACTTACCAGCTCAGTAAACGTGTAGATCCCGTGTTTGTACTGATGCACTACAGTGAGTTGTGTCATTGCGATAGTTCAGTCGACATTAGTGTCTCCACACTGGAATGAGGCTAATGTGAAGTGCTACCTGTAACTTCCCAGAATAATTCAACAAGCTGTCTTCTCCCCTAACTTGCTGCCGCAGTACTGTTATGTACACTGATGATTACGCTCAATATTTCTACTACTTTTCATTTCTACTATCATTTTCTAAAATACATGTTGATTTCTCTTTTTTTTTCTCTTTTAATCCAGCTGATTCTAAATGTAGGATTTCTTTATGTCTGCTTCTATGTTCTTGCTCTGCTGTTGTTATGCTGCTTATACGTTTAAACAGAAGAAACTCACAGTTCTGAAGCTGGTCAGCCACAACCCGCAGGTCTGCCAGCGGCCGCCCGGTCG